CTGACGACGGCGCGGGGGCGGTGTCGCGGCGGCGCTGGGCTCCGGAGCGGGCCGGGGTCATGAGCGCCGCCCGGCCTCAGTTCAGCATCGATGACGCCTTCGAGCTGTCCCTGGAAGACGCGGGCCCTGGGCCGGAGTCCAGCGGGGTTGCCCGCTTCGGGCCGCTGCACTTCGAGCGCCGGGCCCGGTTCGAGGGGGCTGACGAGGACAAGCAGTCCCGGCTGCGCTACCAGGTGAACGGCCCGGTCCACTTCACCCCGGTCCGGGCCCTGGAGAACCCCAAGTTCGGGGAGAACCCGCCTAGAGGCCCCAGCCGGAGCGGGAGACTGCCCCCCGCGCGTGACCCCTGGTCCAGACCCTCCCAGCTCTGATGTCGGTCCCCAGCCGGCACCGCAGAGCCCAGAACCCGCACCCGGGAGCTCATCCCTCAGCTCCGCCTGGAGAGCCCCCCTGAAGTCCCCACCCGTCCTGAGTACTGATCCCTCGCTCCCGCAGGGTTTGGGGAGCTCTTCTGTATCCGAACCAGACCTGGCCCATACGCGGGAACACTCCCCGGAGCCCCAGGCCTGACGATCTTAAGGGAACCTGCGCCCCTTTCTCTGTTCTGGAAGTCCCCACCCCAATCTCCCCCCTAGACCTGGAAGTCCCCACTTACATGACTAGTCCTTGCCCACCCCTTGATTCCCACTAAACCGGAAATGCCCATTTTCCTAGAGAACTGCCACCAACTGTAGGTTCCTTTTCTTGGAGACCTGGACCTCATTCCTATGCCCCAAGCCTGAGAACCCCGGGCCTGTCCTTTCCTGGTACCCCAAATCCACAGTCCCCAAGCTGGGCCCCTGAAATATCCTGTGAGCTCCACCCTGATTCCCAGACTTGGGACATCTCCTGGCCCTGGGACCCGTGCTCACTCCTGCCTCCCAAGTCCCCAGCATCCACCCACTTCCTACTTCGGTTTCGGTTTCTGTGAATCACCAAACCCGTTCTGCGGGAAGGGAGGAGGGCCAGGTGAGCAGCTGCCAGGCGCCAGGCAACAGCTGTGTGTGGGCCTGCTTTTCTCCTGTCCCCGAGAGCGGGAAATGAGGAAGAGCCTGAGCCCAGAAATCCCTCTGAGCTCTGTGTTCTGGAACAGAACCTGGAGAACAATGAGGATGGAGCCCAGGCCTCTCCGGAGCCAGATGGAGGAGTCAGCACCAGGTTAGGGCCAGGTGGGGACCCACCCTTGTACCCCCAGCCCCATTCCTCTGGCTCCTGTCCCAAGGGACCCTGCCCAGTCCCCCACCTGGCTTCATCAGCTGTCTCACGTGCTGTCCTATAAGGAGTCCTAGCCTGACCCCTGCTCACCTCATGGGGTCCCCTGTTTTGCAAGCCACCCTGCCCTAGTGCCCAGCCTCTCCCCACCCCCAACCTGGTCTGTCCCCACCTTCCCACAGGTCATCTGTCCTTCAAGAACCCCAACTCTCATCCCCAGGCTTTCCCCACTCCCCATCCTGCAGAAACCCCCAGCCCTTGAATTCATCTTCACCCCCAGTCCCCTCTCAGAGCCCACTATCCTGCAGGGGCCAGGCATCGTCCCTGCACCATTCCATGCACTTCATCATGACTCCTGTCTGGAAGGGACTTTTTGCCTCCCTACTGCCCCTCACTGGACCACCTGTCCTGCAGAGATTCTAGCCGAACATCCATCCGCACCTCCCAGTGGTCCTTTAGCACCATCAGCAGCAACACCCAGGGCTCCTACAATGCCTGTTGCAGGTGAGCCCCTGCTCTGCTTGAGCCCTCAGCCTCCACGTTGCCTGTGGCCCCTGCCCCAGCACACTCAGCCCTGGCTCTACCCCTCCAACAGCCTTCCCTCACCCCCTCCCTTCACCTCTTTCATGCTCACCCTGCTCTCCTGCCACCCAGCTGGACCCAACACCCTTTGATCCAGAAGAACTGCCGGGTAGTGCTGGCTTCCTTCCTGCTTCTGCTGCTGGGGCTGGGTGAGTGCTCCCAAGGGCCCCCCGCCTTCGCCCATGAGTGGTTCTGCCCTTCTTCTGTGCGGCTCTGCATCCCCCTTGGCACACTTAGCCTCCCAGCGTCCTGAGGAGGCAGCTGGCTGCCATCACCCCTCCCCCATTTTACAGGTGAGAGAATTGAAGCCTTGAGAGGGGAGGCCCAGGTTCCTGGTCACACAGCCAGGAAATCACACATAGCTGAAAATGGAACCTGGCTCAACTCTCCAAAGATTTTCCCTTTTTTTAACTTAGACTGTTTAATCCACCAGGGGACAGAAGAGTAACCGCTACCACTTATTCTGTGTCTACTTCAGGCCAGGTGCAGGCAGATTTATTTTCCCAACCTTACAGAGGTCACGAAGCAAGTAAGAGGTAGGACCCAGAATCTGTGTGCAAGAGCAGAGCTCAGGGCTATGCCTGTCCCTGTGGCCAGGGGTGCTGAGTGCCCTGCTAGCCTTATCCACAAGGCATCTGTCACTTCCCCTTCTCTGAAGTTGAAGAGCTGATAAGGACCTCTATCCCACCCCCATGGCTCAGATGGGGAAACTGAGGCCCAGAGCAGGCAGATCTCACAGCCAGATGTTTTCTGACTCCCAGGCTCCTCCTATGGGGCTGAGGAGGCAGAGTCCCCAGAAAAGATCCAGGGTTGGGGTCCACAGGGGCCCATAGTAAGCGACCAACTGTGGTTGCTGCTCTGACTCCCCCTCCCTCCCTTCTTCAGGAAGGCCAGAGCCCCTCAGACAGGCAGACCTTCTGCCAGAAAGCCCAGCCTCAGCTCTGGGTGTTTGTGTGCAGAGGTCGGAGCTACCGCTTCCCAGCACCACTGCATGCTGGGGCTGGCGGTGCTGGCCACCAGCTTTGTCTCATTTCATCCTCTCTCTCAGTAACCCAGCAAGGCAAGCATTGTTCCCATCCCAGTTTCAGAAACAAGGACGCAGGCTCAGGCAGATGAAGGGACTTGCTCAGGTCGCAGCTGGGAAATAGATGAGCTGGGATTTAAACCCACATCTGTCAGGTCTGGGGGCCACCAGAGGCCCATAAAGGGCCTTTGTAGGAATTCAAAAAAGATGTCTCCTCTGAGATGGCAGAGCTGGCAGCCCTAAGCCAGGGTGCAGAGAGTGAGTTTTGACCCCCGTCATACCCTTTTCGAAGTGTTCTGTGCCATGCACAAACACACAGTCCACGGTATCCCCTCCAGCCCCCAGGCTGTACTTCTACCTTGCCACAGAACCTAAAGTCCAGCTTCCGACCTCCCCCCTCTAACTGGGGACCCAGGGCTCTGGATCTGAAAGGTGGATTCAGCCACGACCTCTCCACCTTCCCCAGCGCCCACTGTCCTCTGCCAACGTCCACATCCCTTCCCGGGGTTACGGGCCCTACCAAACTCCTCCGGCCTGGGCACTTGCCTCTCTGGTCTTGTCAAATGCTGGAAGCTCTTAGAAAGCCTCAAGTTCCCTCCAGACTCTGGGTTCCCTCCGTGTGGAATTCTCTTTCTGCCTGCACGATGCCCAAAGCAAAGTCAGATAGCCTCCACCTTCCAACTGCAGCCGTGGGCAAGTTCTTTTCCCTTTCTGTGCCTCAGTTTCATCTTCGGTGAAGTGGGGAGTATGATAATACCTGTCTCATTTGGTCAAGGTGACATATAAGGCAATGCATGTAACACGCTTTGCCCAGTGCCTGGCAGCACCTGGTAAGTGGTCAATAAATATTAACTGCTATTGCTACCGCTACAGCTACCCTGCCCAGCGAGATGTCACCGTCTACAAGAAGCCCCTCACTTGTCCCCGGGGCCGATGCTTCCCTGGGCTCCCACACTGCCCTTTTCTTCCCTCCCATATCCTGATCACCTGGGTTATAGCGGTCAGGTTCTTGTGGGTCTCTCCACTAAGGAAGGGCCATGAGGGCAGGGAATTTATCTGCCTTATATCTCGGATTCCCACTACAAGGCACGCAGTAGGTGTTCCATAAATGTTTGTTGAATGACTGAGGGGCCACACCAAGGAGCAGACAAAAATCTCTCCTTTCACAGACATTTCCCAGGGCCTGCCACGTGCCCTGTTCTGAAAACAGAGCTTGGAGAGCTTCCTGGGGAGGGTCTCTGCCCAGGGGACCTTCAGCTCAGGTGGGAACACCATTCCTCCGGCCTGAGCCGTGTTGGGGGTTGGGGGGTGGAAGCCCCCCTAACCCCCGCGGCTCCATCTGTGTGCAGTACTGATCCTGGTCGGCGTGGGACTGGAAGTGGCCCCCTCTCCAGGTGAGCGCCCCTCCTAGCCTGGCCGCGGCACCCCTCTCGTTCCCGTGGGTCCTTGGCCAGCCCATCCACCTCCCAGCAGGAAACGGCCCCTTTTGCAGCTGAGTGCGGCTCGCCCGGGCCGTGACGCCCTCGCCCCTGAGCCTCCCTCCCTCCCGCAGGTGTCTCCAGCGCCGTCTTCTTCGTGCCGGGCTTCCTGTTGCTGGTCCCGGGAGGTGCGAGCGGGCGCCGGGGCGGGACGGGGCGAGACGCGTAATAACTTCGTATAGCATACATTATACGAAGTTATACGACACAAGTTAAGTCCCCTGCTCTCCAGGCCCACCTGGACCCCCCACCCTCAGCCTCACATCAAGGCACTTTTGGGGGTACCCGTTGGATGCAGAAACTCCTAAACCAGTGGTTCCCAAACTAGCTGCAATAAAGGACCAGTTTTCATTTCTAATCCATTGTGAACCAATACTTTTGTAAGATAAAATAAAAACTAGAGGCTGGCCGGTTAGCTCACTCGGGGGGGCGGAGGGGCGGGGCCTCGGCGCTAACAGGCCCCGCCCCGCAGTCTACCACGTGATCTTCATCTACTGCGCCGTCAAGGGCCGCCGGGGCTTCCACTTCTTCTACCTGCCCTACTTCGAGAAGTGAACTGCCGCCGCGACGGCCGGGCCCTCATCGCAGGACCCTCGAAACCCCCAGCTCCGCCGGGAGTTTGCTCAGGAAGTTTGGGGCACCCAGGCCTCTGGGCCTGGGAAAGTCGCCCATTTCTGCCTCTGTGCCTTAACTTATTTTCGGGCTCTGGGGCTGCTGGGTGGGTGGTGTTTTGTACTAATAAACGAGTACAGAGATAAGCGCTCTCTCCTGTCCTGCCACCCCTGGCCCAGCCCACCATCCTGACCATAGCCCCCTCCCTCAAAGGCTGTGAAAAGGACTGACCCTGGAGCCTAAGGGCCTCTAGGACCACCCACCTCCCCATGGTACACATGACAGCCCCAATGCTCTGAAAGTCACCCAATGTCACAGGGCATGTTAGGGGCAGAGCTGGGCCTTGGCGGTTTTGCCCTGTGAGCCTGGAGGAGGCTGTTTCCTCCACCTGCAGCCCTTAGCAGATGTGGCCTGCCCCCATCTCTTGTTTGGTGGCCCTGGCCAAGGGCACTCAGAGATGATGCAGGTCTGGGGTCTGGAAGCTGCTATCCTGCTTCCAGCCTGGCTCTGGGGCCCTAGGCTGCCACAGCCAGCCCTGAATGTTGCCACGACGAGGCAGCGGCCCAGCCCTCCCACACACTGCCCTACTTCCCAGGCCCAGAGGTTGGGAGAACCAGGGAGCAGAGGGCCTAACAAGTAGGGCTGGCATGACAGAGAGCCTTAGTGATCAGAGACACTCACAACCACAGAACATTACAAATAGACCATCTCAGAATTTTGGGAAGTCAGAGTATCTCAGAATTTTAGAAACTAAAAAACAGAATCTTTGAGAACCCTGAAATCTGAGACCATAATAGCTACCATTTACCAGACTTGTAAGGCGCCAGGCCTGTGCTAAGCACTTAACCCAGGTTAGGTTTGGTAATGCTCATTACCCATCTTCAAGATGAGGATTGACTGGCCCAAGGACAGCCAGTGGGTTGTAGGCAAAGTTAGGAACATAACCCAGGGCTCTGGCTCCCCGGCTCACACCCCTTTCCATGACACTGAGGGACAGGGGAACTGAGCTGGTGTGGTTCCCCTGCCGGCCAACCCAGGGACTAGCCAAATGAGTGTGGGCTGTTCATATACTTAACATGTTTACGGTCTGTCTCCCCCACAAAAACATGAGTGCCGATAAGAAGGGACTTTCCACTGTGACTGCCGCAGCCAGCAGGGTGGGTGCCTTTAGAGCTCTGTGACTGTTAAGTCCCCTGCTCTCCAGGCCCACCTGGACCCCCCACCCTCAGCCTCACATCAAGGCACTTTTGGGGGTACCCGTTGGATGCAGAAACTCCTAAACCAGTGGTTCCCAAACTAGCTGCAATAAAGGACCAGTTTTCATTTCTAATCCATTGTGAACCAATACTTTTGTAAGATAAAATAAAAACTAGAGGCTGGCCGGTTAGCTCACTCGGTTAAAATGCAGAGTTGGTAACACCAAGGTCAAGGGTTAGGATCCCCAAAGTGGCCAGCTGCCAAAAATAAAAATAAAAACAAAAACTAGAAAAATGAAATAAAAACCAGACATATAGAATACAAGCCCACAGTTTATATTATCAGATTTATCAGACATAAAATTACGTTTCAATAAATATAATCAAAACAAAACAGGAAAAAAGAAAAATTACATATGCCAGCCGGAAAAAAGACAATTACAAATGCCATTCATTGAAAGTGAGCAAACAGGCAGCACAGAGAGTCACGACTACACTTTTTAACTAAACAGAAAGTTATTCTGGAAGTGGTGGTTCTCTGTACTGTGGGTCTATATCAGAATAAATTGAACAATTTATTCTATTGTTTTCTGGCATCTATTATTGCCAATGAAAAATCTTTGGTAAGCTGACTTTTCTCTCGAGTTGTTTGTAAGATTTTCTTTTTGTATTCTGCAGTTACGCTGGGATGTATCTAAATACACATTTATTTTTATTTATCCTGCTTTGGCTTCAATTTGCTCCTTCAATCTGGAGACTTAAGGTCTGTGGAAGTTTCTATGGAAAACTTGCGACCACCACCTTGGAATGTTGCCTCAGGTCCATGCTCTATACTTTCTCTGCGACTCCTGATGACTTACCACTGCCCTTTAATATTTTTCATCTTTTTATCTCTCAGTGCTACATGATAGGTGATTTCTCAGATGCAGCTTTCAGTTCATTAATTTTATTTTATGTCTCATCTGTTCTTTAGCTTACTCACTGACTTTTTTCATTCCACCACCAATATTTTTTCATTTCTAGAAGTTCTGGTGGGTTATTTTTTAAATCTTCCTGTTCTGTTCACGTACTAGCCTGTTACTGCATATGCACCTCTCCTTTGCTTTTTTTCCTCCATTTATATTATGGTCTCTTAGATTGTTCTATTAGTCACACTTTGAGATACTAGTTCTCCATTTTTGAACCTGCCTAGTCAATCCTTGTGGTGGTTTGTTTCCTTATGTCATCTGTAATTTTTGTCATGAGTTCATCTTTTGGAGCAACAGGGTTTTTTGGTTTGGGTTTTGGTTTTAGAAGTTCCATGTGCCCTGGATTGAAAGAGAGCCCCTTCTCGGCAGTATTTTTTTTTACAGTTTTTTCAGCTTTTCACACTCTGGAGATAGACCACACTCCTGCTTAAGGTGCAGGCCCTGGAGTTTCAGGTTCTCAAGGCCCTGACTGAGCATCTGTATCTTAGGCCACTTTCTCAGGCCAGTTGGTGCAGATATATTTTAGTCCCTTTTTCAGGACCATGGTAGCTCTTTAAGACCCTGGAACATACCCAGGAGGTTCATTTCTTGCTCCCCAGACTCATATGGGTTTTCTGTCTCTCCTGGGTGTTACAGCCCAGGCTCCCAAGCCTCTATCCAGGTCTGAAACCCTCACAGGGTCAGCTCCCTCCTGCAGCCCCAGCTTCGATTCTTTGTCTTTGGTAGTTGGGGTCATCCCTTTCTTTCTTTAAGTTCACTTTTTTTTTTTTGGCAGCTGGCTGGTACAGGGATCAAAACCTGGGCATTGTTGTTATCAGCACCACACTCCTACCAAGTGAGCAACCGGCCAGCCCTTCCCCGCCCAACATTTTACACACATAAGCAGTGGAAGGGGTCCTGCCATCCTCTCAATTCACCACCTTATTAGGGATCCCCTCCAACGTTAACCAATTTTTGAATGCTGCCAGTGCTGGTAAACTCCCTACCTCCCAAGAGTCTGGAGAGATCCAAATCTTTGCTCACATTGGGGAATTGTGGGCAGTTGAGAGCAGATTTTCTCCAGGTGACTCAAGTAGGCAGGGGTAAGGGTGGGGGTGGGTGGGGGACATAAGCAGATTCTCAGGCCAGGTGTTATCAGGGGTAGGAGACGTCTGAGGGCTGTTGAGTCTCTTCCATCTTGGGGGAAAGTGTGCAGCCTGGGTCCTGCTGGTGTCTGGGGTCCTAGGGGCAAAAGATTCTCCCTCCTGGAGCCTCAGGGGGTGAACAGCATCATCACAAACTCTACGGGAGAGAAGGGCAGGGCTTGGGAGGGTCCAAGTCGGGGATCCGCAGAAGTGCCGCAGCTCAACCTGGATGCTGGAGGGACGGGAGGGTTGTCTGGAGGGAGACTCACCATCAAAGTCTACGGTGCCGTCCCCGTTGAGGTCCACTTCCCGGAGCATCTCATCCAGCTCAGTACCCTCCAATGGCTCCCCCAGCAGAGCCGGTGCTGCCTGCCGCAGCTCAGCAATCGTGATTCGTCCATCCCTGTCCCTGTCAAACTAGGGTCCAGGCAGGGCTCAGCCCCTCCCACCCAAAGCTGCCTCTGCCTGCACCCGGCTCCACTCTTGCCATTTCCTGGGGGCAAGATGCTCCCCTGCCCATTGTCTTCACCTGTCCAAACCTCTGCCATCCTCCCAGGACAAGATGGTGTGCCTCCTGCTCCAGGAAGCCTCCCTGGATGGACCCCCAGCTGGGAGTGAGCCAAACCCTCTTTGACCCATCCCTGGGCCTTCATCCCACTGCCTGCCGGGCTCCGGCCCCCAGTTTGCCCTGGCCTGAGTGACAGGCCAGCAAGGACGCCGTCCAGCCCACCACCACGGCCCCCGATCAGGCTCCACACCTCGCGGAAGGCGCAGCGCAGCTCTCGCACGCCCAGCATGTGCGCCGTCTCCTCCCTCAGCTTCGGGCCTATCAGTTCCACAAACTCGTCGAAGTCCACACAGCCACCCACTGCGGACCCAGGCAGAGTGTCACAACGGTGAGGGCCAGTGCCCAAGAAGGAACGTCCCGAGGGCCAGGCGCCCCCCACCCCCGGGCTCTGCATCCAGGAAGGAGCACCCCGTCCACAGTGGGGGGCAGGAGGCTGGTTCCGTGGGTGCTGAGGGGCCGGGATATCCCACCCAGCTCAGGACCACGAGGCAGGACAGCCCGGGCTCAAATCCTGGCTCTGCCGCTGTGTGTGAGTCATCAGGCGGCTCACTGACCCTCCCGTCCTCGTCCTGGGGTGGGGCTGGGAGAATCCTCCACGGGGAGCTGTGGGGGTAGAGTTCATGGCCATAAAGTGCTGGAGCCCAGTCGGTGGCAATAAATGTCACTTTGGAAGCAGCCCCATGCAGTCGACCCCCGTTCTGAGATGCCTTCAACCATATAAAGCACCAGTGGTCAAAACAGCAGCATTGGGGGAAAGAAAGAAATGGGCCACTAAATACCCACATGGTTCTAGGTTACATCCCCGCTCTGGAAACTGTAAGGAAAAAATGCAGGTGTCCTGGAATGGAGAGAATATATTTGCCCAAGGACAAACCAGCGAAGGATGACACACAAGTGCCCGCCTGTCGGACACTTGTTCACAAGGAGCAGCTGGGTTCTGAAAGAAAGAAATGGGCCACTAAATACCCACATGGTTCTAGGTTACATCCCCGCTCTGGAAACTGTAAGGAAAAAATGCAGGTGTCCTGGAATAGAGAGAATATATTTGCCCAAGGACAAACCAGTGAAGGATGACACACAAGTGCCCGCCTGTCGGACACTTGTTCACAAGGAGCAGCTGGGTTCTGTCATGCCAGGCCTCACAGAGCCTCCGGAGGGGCTGTATTCCTCCTTCCAGGGTGACCCAGATTCAGGCAGCTGCCACCAGGACACAGGGCTGGGGCAGGGTCACAGAGAGAGAGAGAGAGAGAGGGCACCAGGTGGCTAGTCCCAGCAGAGAGCACTTTACCACCCAGCCAGAGGCACCTGGCCCAAGGAGGCAGGAGGGGCTGGGGTGCAGAGCAGCCACATAAGTGTCCCAAGGGTGGGTTCCTCAACCTGAACCCCAGGGGCCTCCCTTGGGTCACCAAGATGCCCTGCTTGCCCACCTCATCACACCAAGGGGCAAGGGCTTGGGCCTTCTGATGGGGCCACTGTGGTCCTACCCCTCCTCCCCTGGAAACTGTCACCCTCCCCCACTTCCACATCACCCCTGATGGACTCCCAGAAGCCAGCTCCCATCACACCCTCATCATTCCCCTGAACCTTGAGGCTCCAAGAAGACCAGGGCCACCCAGCCCCTGGGCAAGGCCAGGCTTCCCCCCACCCCCACCCCTACCCCAGCAGATGGCCCTCAGTCACTGACAGCGCAGCTTGACGTGCTGTGACACCTCGATGAGCTCCATCTCAGTGGGCATGTAGCCCAGGGTCCGCATGCAGTCGCCCAGGTCCCGGTAGCTGATGTAGCCATCACGGTCAGTGTCAAATTCCTCGAAGGCAGCCTGAAGCTCTGCGGGGGAGGGAGGTCAGGCCCAAGGGGCCAGGCTCAGGGACACCTACCGCTCCCCAACAGCAGCACGAGCCACTCACCATCCAGCTCCTCCGGGCCCAGCTCACGGTCCTGCAGGGGGATAGTCCACCATGTCCCCAGGGCCAGCCACAACTCTGTCCATCCTCCCTCCTCCACCCCTGCCCACACTGGCCTGGGCAGGGCCAGCCCCTCCAGGGCAGGAGAAGGCAGCTGAAGTCCCATGGGCCCCAGAAGGAGGATGTCCCCTTTCGTGCTCCTGGGGCCTCGAGCTCCCCCGGAGCCCTGAGTGCGAGCTCTGCCCACTGCTCAGGCCGGCCTGAGACCCACCGTTCCCCACTCTGCAGAAACCCGGCCCCTCAGCCCGGAGGCAGGAGGCCTGAGTGCTTCGGCGCAGGGTGGGCTGAGCCTGAGCGGCGTGAAGCTCCCCGCACTCCCGCCCAGGACCCAGCCCTGCCCAGGCCCCGACTGACCTTTCCAAAGACGCGGTTCAGCAGGGGCCCGTATGTCCTCTGAGCAGCATCGTGCTGGGGGTCGGAATGATGCCGGTGAGACTGGCGACGAGAGGCCGGCCCTGGGGCTGTAGGGGGTGGCTCTCCCTGCCCCTCTTTGGTCCTAGAGGGGTTCTTGCTGCTCCCTGAAGCCTCGGGGCCCTGGACAGGGGCCTGCTCCCCAGAGCTGCCAGGGCCCTTCTGGGACCCTCGGAGGCCCCGCTCCCTCTTGCTCTTCTTCCTGGTCAAGGGGGCGCCCCCAGCATCCCTCTTGGGAGTCACATCCCCCACAGGAAGCTCCTGACAACTGGGGTCCAGGTCATGCTGCCCCCTTGCCTGCTCTGTGGCCATGTGGGGAGGGACAACAGGGCTCAGAGATGCAGCACCCTGAGCACCCTGGACTCTCAGGCCCTATAAAGCTGCTTACGCACCTCCCCTCTTAGAGCCGATGGCCTGAGATCTGGCCCTGAGGGGGATTAGGGTAAGTGAGGTAGGCAGCCCAGGCCCTAATCCCAGCCCTCTGCCCCGGGGGTGGCCAGGGCAGAGCCAGATGGGTCAAGAGAACTGTCTTCAGCTGGCTGCTAGGGGTACCAGGACAGGGTGGCTGCCATGAGCAGCCCCTCCGAGCCTCAGTTTCCTCATCCATAAGATGGGGGAATACTGCTGATGAGCTGAGGACTCAGCCCAGCTGTGTCACATGGCAGGCTTTATCTGAGTAGAGGCCCAGGGAAGGCAGTGCAGCCAGGAGGGAGGGTGTGGCAAAGTCTGGGAGGTGGGAAAGGATAGGACGAGCTGCCCACTGGGGACACCTGGTGGGGTGACATCCTGGCTGCGGTGGAGCGTATGTGAAATCGAGGAAGAGAGGCCAGATCACAGAGGCCTCGAATGCCAGACTGAGGGGCATTGGGGTGATATGAGAGGAGGTGGATCCGTGGGGAGCCTAGAGCCTATCCTGGGCTGGAGAGGCCCGGGTGAGGGGGGTTCAGCTGTCAGGAATGGGGGGCCTGGCTGGTCACTTGGCCTTACTGGGCCAGGGTTAGGGTTTCCCGGAGAGCAGCCTCATGAATGATTGATATCCTCTCAGCTTGGGTTTCCTATCCGCCCGCCTTACTGCCGCCGGGCACCATGCAGCAGGCCCTGGTGTGGGGCTGTGGGGACAGCTGGACCTGGGGCGGGCAGGCACGCCCCGCTCCTTCCAGCCATCAGCCTGCGCCTCACAGGTAAGCCAGGCCACACCGGTCAGGGCCCGGAGGGGGGCCCAGAGGGGTGCCCAGGGCTCTGATCCAACAGGGGCTAGAGCTTCAGAGCAGGGTCTGCTTGAAGAAGAGCCCTAAGGGTGGGGAGGCCACCAGGCTAAAGGCTGCAGGCAGGATCCGGTCCTCTGGGGCATCTGGACCATCCCGTAACTGTGCTGCCACCAGGACTTTTTCCACCCTTGCAGGGAAACTCCCTCCCCTCTGCCAGCTGGGGATTGTGGGTTGAGGACAGCAGGCCTCTTGGATCACAGGCCAGGGTGCTCCCAGCCACCTCACCCTCATCACACTCTGGAGCCTTCTGCCCCTTCTCTTTTTAGTAGTTTCAGGGGACACATGGGGGCCACCTTCTGCCTGATTGTGGGAAGCGGGAGAAGACTTGGGTGGGGCTGGAGGATGCTGAAGAGGCCCAGCTGACAGGGCCCGGAGGCTCAGACCTCAACCTGCTTTCATGAGTGGCACTTACTGGGGGTAGGGGTCTCCTACTGTCTCAGGCTCTCTGCCCTGGACTCCTATGGACCCATGAGACCCAGAGCCCTCTTCTCTTGGAATCTTAAACAATTGAACCCCAGGGTACCAGGCATAAAGGGGCTTTGTGATGAGCTGACCAAGTGGTTTTCAAACTATGTTCCCTAGGGCCGGCCCGTGGCTCACTCGGGAGAGTGCGGTGCTGATAACACCAAGGCCACGGGTTCGGATCCCATATAGGGATGGCCGGTTAGCTCACTGAGTGAGCGTGGTGCTGATGACACCAAGGGTTAAGATCCCCTTACCGGTCATCTTTAAAATATATATATATATGTCCCCTGGAACCCCAGGGGTGCTCTCCCCTCCTTTAAAAGGGGGTGCCCTTTTAACACATATAGGAGTTCTATTATAATACTTTACCTAAAGACAAGATTCAACAGCTTTACTAGTATGTTTAAAAGCCTCTGGTTTAGTCTACTTGGACACACTCGGATCCCATGAGGCAGAACAGTTAAGTCCAGGTTTGAGTCCTGGCACCTCACTTCCCACCTGACCTTTGGCAAGTCACTGATTCTCTGAACCCCCTTTTCCCCACCTGTAAAACAGATCGTTTGAGGATTACATGAGATCATCTATTTAAAGTGGTTGGCATAGACTAACTACCCAAAAGGTGATGATGATGGCCCAGAGAGGGACAGTGACAGTGACTCGCCTGGAGATGCGCAGCACCCTCTCTCTCATATGCAGTCATTCATGCATTCATTCATTCACCAGGCACCCATGCTGTGTCCAGCAGTACACGGGGGACCCCACGTGGACACTGCTATGGAAGCCAGCCTGGGCACCGCCGGCCGCGGGCCCCGCACAGACCTGGATGATGAGGACTCCTACCCCCAGGGTGGCTGGGACACAGTCTTCCTGGTGGCCCTGCTGCTCCTGGGGCTGCCGGCCAACGGGCTGATGGCGTGGCTGGCTGGCTCGCAGGCCCGGCACGGAGCGGGCACGCGGCTGGCCCCGCTCCTGCTCAGCCTGGCCCTCTCCGACTTTTTGTTCCTGTCAGCAGCGGCCTTCCAGATCCTGGAGATCCAGCACGGAGGGCACTGGCCGCTGGGGACGGCCGCCTGCCGCTTCTACTACTTCCTCTGGGGAGTGTCCTACTCCTCCGGCCTCTTCCTGCTGGCCGCCCTCAGCCTGGACCGCTGCCTGCTGACGCTGTGCCCGCGCTGGTACCCTGGGCGCCGCCCGGCCCGCCTGCCCCTCTGGGTCTGCGCCGTGGTCTGGGTGCTGGCCACGCTCTTCAGTGTGCCGTGGCTGGTCTTCCCCGAGGCCGCTGTCTGGTGGTATGACCTGGTCATCTGCCTGGACTTCTGGGACAGCGAGGAGCTGCCCCTGCGGATGCTCGAGATCCTGGGGGGCTTCCTGCCTTTCCTGCTGCTGCTCATCTGCCACGTGCTCACCCAGGCTGCTGCCTGCCGGGCCTGCACCTGCCGCCGCCACCAGCCTCGGCCCACGGCCCGCCAGGGCTTTGCCCGAGTGGCCAAGACCATTTTATCGGCCTATGTGGTCCTGCGGCTGCCCTATCAGCTGGCACAGCTGCTCTACCTGGCCTTCCTGTGGGACATCTACCCTGGCTACCTGCTCTGGGAGGCCCTGGTCTACTCGGACTACCTGATCCTGCTCAACAGCTGCCTCAGTCCCTTCCTCTGTCTCATGGCCAGCGCTGACCTCCGGGCCCTTCTGCACACGGTGCTCTCCTCCTTTGCTGCAGCTCTCTGCGAGGAGCGGCCGGGCAGCCTCATGCCAGCCGAGCCACAGATCCAAGTGGCCTCTGAGGGTCTGATTCTGCCAGGGCTCATAGCTGAGGCCCAGCCACAGTCAGAACCCGCGGCCCAGCCTCAGCTGAACCCCGCAGCCCAGCCACAGTCAGACACTAAGGCCCAGAGCCCGGGACCTGCTGCCAGCTCAGCCCCCAGCCCCTGTGATAGTCAAACACTAAGGCCCAGAGCCCGGGACCTGCTGCCAGCTCAGCCCCCAGCCCCTGTGATGAAGCCTCCCCTGCCCCATCCTCAAATCCCACTCCAGGAGCCCCTGAGAACCCAGCCATGCCTGCTGCCTCTGAGGGACAAAGCCCCAGCAGTGCCCCAGCAGAGGAGTCCCCCAGCACAGGCCCCACATGAGGGTCCAGCACAGCCCAGGCCCGCCAGGACAGCGGAAGAGCCACAGGAAACAGCCAGTCAGAGAGGCGGGGTGCCATGGAGGAAGTCATCGCTGAAAACCCCACCGGGTCCCTCGGGCCTGAAGGAGAACTTGAGGGAAGTGAACAAAGCAGCCAAAAGTCCCACACAGTTTGTCTGAGTGTCCCCTCGCTTGGTCCCACCACACTCTTCCATGATTGCCTCCAATGCACAGTTGCCCAACAGCCCCCTGAGCCACAGCTGATGGGGTCCCACAGGGTTCTGCCCTCCCATACCCCCAGAGCCCACTGACACAGTTTCCTTCTGTGCCTCAGTCCTGCTGGAGGAAGACAGCAGGGGGACATCCCCCTGGGCTTGATCTGACCTTTGATCCTTCCCACCCTTCCTTCTCCCTGTCCTGTCCTCCAGCCTGGACACACGAAGACCAAATAAAACTCCCTGCAGAGAACAGAAGCTTCCAGGAGCCAGCAGCCCCCAGCAGGAGCCTGAGGCCCTAGTGGCCCACAAGCTGGCCTGGCATGGCCACGCCCTCTCCACCAGCCCCCGCCCCCAGCAGACAGTGAGGCCGGGGCAGAACCTCCCTCAGCAAAGCATTACTGTACCTTCTCAGCTTGTTGTGAGGATTAGATGAGAAAGCGTGTAAGGTGCCCAGCAAGAGCCTGGCACACAGTAGGGGCTCAGAGACCAGACAGATGTTCTCTTCTCTCATTGGCATACAGGATGGGAGGCGGCAGGTGGGAGAGCTGTCACCTGGCCTGAGCATCTGGGATCCTGTGACCAGTGTGGGCTGAGAGAGCATGGGGCTGCTGCCTCTGCACCTTGGTGTGTGGGCAAGGGGGGTTCCAGGGGACTTCAACGTCTGACTCCTTTTAAGGGTTCAACTAGCATCCACCTGTCCCCAGCCCCCAATGTAAGGCTGCACAAAGATTATGTGGGGGCGGCAGGTACAGGGTGCCCTGGTCCTGCCAGGGACGGCAACTTCTCTCCATCTGAACCAAGGGCACAGATGGGGAGCTGTCCAAGCACAGAGAGCTCCGGGCACTAGTGGCTCCAGAAAGGGCAAAGGTTCCCAGAGGTCACACAGCAGCTCTAGGGAAGAGCCAGCTCTTCCCTCTCAAGCTTCAGACACTGCAGAAAAATCTAGGAAGTGCTGAAGGCCTCTCTTCCATCCCCTCCCCACTTCCCTTTCCACACCCATCACCCTCTCCTGGCACCCACCCCACCCAGCTTGCCCCAAATCCCCAGTGTTCCAAAATCATGGCCCCCTTTCCCTTCTTTTTTTTTTTTTTTTTTTTTTTTTTTTTTTTTTTTTTTTTT